TCTATATGTGTAATTTGTATAATGAGACAGGTACTATGGAGATCATGAACGATTTATTAGAACAGCAAACAATTTTATCAGAAAGATATGTAATTCATTATTTCATCTATCACAGCAAAACATTTCTAAAACATATATAATGACAAAATATAACATCAAATTAATATAAATAGCGTCTGTAACCTTATACCAGCTCATATTGAACATTCGGTACTTGGTTGGTCCGACTCATGCTCTAATAACCTCCGCAAGGCGACGTGGCATGCTGTCAATGAGGTTACTGATGTAATCCACCGTGATGTCATCCCAAGTTGTTACTAGAAAGTGCTGCAACTCAGCTACAGTAGCTGGTTTAAGGTCGTGCTTAGAAATTTTCCGGCTCAGTTCAGCCCAACAGATCTAAATGGGATTACAGACTGGAGACTTTCCTGACCATGGCAGTCTTGTAACGTCCTTCTTGTCGAGATAATCCTGTACAATACCAGCACTGTAGGCAGTAGCATTGTCATCCTGGAACAAAAGTTATTACCAAATCTTGTTCTATAATATGGCAGAAATATCGCCTCCATGTTATGACTGTAGGAGGCGCCATTGGCATTTCCCTGGAGGACATGAAGAGCAGTTTTTTCACCATGATGAATAGCTGCCCAAACATGTACTGCACCACCTCCTGTGTGTTCCATGTGGGAAAGAAAGTTTTCCCTCATCTGTTATCCAGGCAAACGACGAACAAATCCTACCATCAGTATTAACAAGGTGGAAACAGGACTCGTCTGAAAAGATGACATGTCGCCATTGTCCTAAATGTAAGTTGGCGGTAGTTTTTCGGCGTCTACCAATAGACTTTCCTGGAACAACATGGCCTGTAGTCCAGTGATATTTGAGAATTTTGGATACAGTGCACTGGGGTACCCTACTTTTCGTACAATGTCCGCTTTCTTCATACCATTTCTGGACAGTCGAACAATTAATTGGATGCCCTATAATTTGTGGCACGTGACGAGGCATGATTCTACATCAAGTACAGAGAAATTGTTTGAACAAAGCGTTGACTTATTTCTAAAAGATTATATCAAAAGCACACCCTTTTATACAAAACAGATGTGTGTATATGTGTTTTGACGAACAAATGCTCCATACAACTTATATAGACCAGAATAACAACTCGTACATATTTGTCCGACCATATGCTACTTGCTCTGTTACTATTCGGGCATTTACTCAATAACTACTCCATGCATATAGAACAGTACGCAAACATTTTGACCAAGAACGTATATCAAGCTACCAGGTCAAACTTATTATTAATTTACCTGTTTTACTTTGTCATACTTACCTTACTTTAACCACCAACAGTTTTTGTTTAAAGAAATCCAGAGTTGTGTGCTGTTTGTTATCAATCTTTTCGACATTTTAGCTCATTTCAATTTCATGCACGAAAATATGTCGTAAAAATATCGTCTGCTAGTACCTACAACATTACGCAAAGTTACGCCATTGAACGAGATTTCAAATAACGTGGAACATGGCGCGTGATTAACTACTCCTATGAATATTGACCAATCAAAAGAAGCGTTTTATTTACCCCTCCTTGTTCGTGGTAAACAACAAATGACAGTCAACTTCGCGACTTGGAAGATAACATTGATAATTTTTGTGGCGTTTTTGAAAAGTTTTGGTGTAAATTGGTATCTCTGTCAGATGGAATTGTGATTGTAAATCTCAAGCGGTACATTTAGAAAATATCTTTACTTTTATTAGGTATGTATTTTTAGTTCTGATCTTTATAGATATCTTGCTTTGTTCAGAAACTCATATTAATTAACTATACTAGGCTCTAGATTTCAGACTATAAAAACATACTTACTATAACTTCAGTAATAGTCTGTTCAGTATCTCTCCTAACAAGTCAATGACCTGAAGAAAGTGTTTGTCGACAATCTAGCATAATATCTTAATTAGTTACACCTTCTGTCCGAAACCTTAAGAAAAAATCGACACAAACCTTTTAATTGTCTAACAGTTTCAACCAATAGGAGATCGACATTTATACATAACTAGTTTGACCAATAACGAGTTAGCGTCAACATAACCCTGTTATTTATGAAATTAAGAGATCTAACTTCCAGAATTCATTGATGACTTTTAATAAAATGTGCTGTCAGAAGCTTTAATTATAATATTAAATGCTTGTACAGCGAGTCAAAAAGGTAAAATAAGAATAAAAATACAGTGAAGGAGAGAAATCATTTTATAGTCTTGGACCTATCTTTAGATACTATATGTAAATAGATTTTATAATACTTATAACACATGATACAGTAGACGTATTACTTATATCACATGATACAGTAGACGTATTACTTATATCACATGATACAGTAGACATAATACTTATAACACATGATACAGTAGACATAATACTTATAACACATGATATAGTAGACGTAATACTTATAACACATGATACAGTAGACGTAATATTTATAACACATGATACAGAAGACATAATACTTATAACACATGATACAGAAGACGTAATACTTATAACACATGATACAGTAGACGTAATACTTATTACACATGATACAGTAGACGTAATACTTATAACACATGATACACTAGACGTAATACTTATAACACATGATGCAGTAGACGTATTACTTATTACACATGATACAGTAGACGTATTACTTATAACACATGATACAGAAGACGTAATACTTATAACACATGATACAGTAGACGTAATACTTATTACACACGGAAGGTTAGCTCTATAGTAACTGTTGTAACCGAAAATACAGTTAGTTGGAGCTATGTGAATGTGCATTTTAACTCAATTAACGCTCTACTGTATCATGTGTAATAAGTATTACTTCTACTGTATCATGTGTACTGTATCCATGTATAAGGTGTGTTATTTAAACTCCACAGAAAACCAGCTCTGTTTTCTTTTACCTGACCCATCGATTCTGTAAATCATAGATCTCGCAGCTGACGTCACATACTTTTGTGAATGGATAGAGTGTTACGTAAGAACGTTTGGCTTTACGTCATTTCCGTCGTAAGTGAACCTCCACTAAACTATAAACTATAAGCAAGGAGTGAAGTGTCTATCTGGATGAAGGTAATAGTTTTATTTATATAGCAGTTAAAAATAACTTAAAACAAAATTACCCCTTAACTCCGAATCATCAGTATTAGGGATAATAAGTATGCGTTAAAAGGTTTGTTTAGCTAATCATCAGTATTAGGGATAATAAGCATGCGTTAAAAGATTTGTTTAGCTATTAGAGAAAAAAATAGGAAATCTCATCATCGCTTTGTCAACAATTATAATTAAAGAAAACTTAATACTCGTAACGTAGTTGTACTTTATAGTAAAAATAATAATAAACGTTATAAAAAGAGTTACTACTTTTAAAGAGCGTAAAACATTTAAACAGTTTTATCATGTATCTCATCTACGATTATAGTTTTACGTTTTACAGTTTCATTTTTTTTATTCTCTACACAGTTAATTTTTTATGCCCTAATGTTTTACTTTTTTATGTTTTAGATTTCATTCTTTTAATTTTCTACAACTCAATTTTCTATTCTACAGTTTCATTTTTTTATTCTCTACACAGTTAATTTTTTATGCCCTAATGTTTCACTTTTTTATGTTTTAGATTTCATTCTTTTAATTTTCTACAGCTCAATTTTCTATTCTACAGTTTCATTCTTTTTATTCTCTACACAGTTAATTTTTATGCTCAACTGTTTCACTTTTTTATGCTTTAGATTTCATTCTTTTAATTTTCTACAACTCAATTTTCTATTCTACAGTTTCATTTTTTTATTCTCTACACAGTTAATTTTTATGCTCAACCGTTTCACTTTTTTATGCTTTAAATTTCATTCTTTTAACTTTCTACAACTCATTTTTATATTCTACAGTTTCATTATTCTTATTTTCTAGAATTTAACTCCTCTTGTGTGTTTTCTAATTTTATACGGTTTCACTTTTGTTATGTTCTACAATCTAATTAGTAAATTCTGCGATTGTGAAATAGGAAGATATATCAATGAACATGGACGGATAGATCGATAAGGTTATTGAAATCTTCTCGCGAAACTGGTTCCATGCTCTATGCAGAACTACATACACTTCGGTTGTATCAACCAGTAGTAAAACATAACAGACACTGCCATATGAAATGCCGAAGGTTATCCATTGGTTGGTATTTACATAAGTAGATGTAAACGCACTTCTTTTTGTGCCCACGTTTCATAGTGTTTTACTTTCTAGGTTGTTTTATGAACAGCGCATGACAATAATTTTCACATGTATTAAGAAACACGACTCGTTTAGTTTCTCAGAATTCAGTTTTTAAACAACTGTTGGCCTTAATCCACGGCTTAATAGTTTAGTTTCATAATCCAATCTACTCTATTACTAAATGTGTTTCAACGACAGATTTAACCATGTCATATAATTCGATTAATTAATTATTCAATCGAATGATAATAAAATATCATTTATTCATATTTTTAAATTATTTATCATAATTAAATATTTTAAACACCCACATTTTGCAGTTAAAACAGTCTTTTTTCATGGACAAAAAGAAATATTAATATTTTTTTATAATTTCTATAAACGAACCATATATATATATATATATCATCCAATTCCCACGAGCAGCTTTTAACTGTGCAAGTATTTTATGTAATTATAACAACTATTTTTTTCATTTCAAACACTATTCGTTTTAGTATATAGATAGTAATAACTTACTTATAAAATATATTTTTCTCGGTAATAACTTGTGTTTTACTACTGAAATACACCGAACAATCGATCGGTAACTTAAAAATGTTCTCTACGAATACTCTGTAGTAATTATTGGGTTGTTTTATATAAAAGCGTATATACTATTCCTCCGCTAGGTGGCTAGATTTGCATTGCTTTAGCAACGATCTTATGGAGAGAAACGTTTATCAGTTGAAAAACCTATAGTGAACGTGCGTGGGAACAAAGACACCAGACGAACTGGAAGTCCAACCAGGAGAGGTGAACTTTGTAAACTGTAGATCGTTTTGTCGGCGTAGAGAAGAACAAGCGACTAGGATCTCCAGAAAGACCCACTTCATTAATCTTAAAGGTAAGGAGGGTTGATCTCCTTTTTGAGTTTAGCAACAAATATTAATAAACTCAACGTTTCTGTCTGAAAAAAAAATAGTTTTATGTTATACAAACCCAGTTTATCCCTCCATGACCACTGGAATCATGCCCTCAAGTTAGCTTTCTAGGATGATCTAGTTCTTTAGATCCTGGGTTCCCTTTCTAAAATAGTATTGTTTATCTGATTTGAGATTATATCTTAGTAGTAATCATGTTACTAAGACCTCGAGTAATTTTTAACGTATTATTATAATTAAAACCCTTATTATTTTATTAGAAGTTAGTAGAACATTCCTGCTAATACGGTTCAAGTTATTTTTTGATATATTCCTATCATTAAAACCCTTATTATTTTATTAGAAGTTATTAGAACATTCCTGCTAATACGGCTCCAGTTACTTTTTAATGTATTACTATCATTAAAACCCTTATTATTTTTATTAGAAGTTAGTAGAACATTCATGCTAATACGGTTCAAGTTATTTTTAATGTATTCTTATAATTAAAAACCCTTATTATCTTATTAGAAGTTAGTAGAACATTCCTGCTAATACGGCTCCGGTTATTTTTTAATGAATTCTTATAATTAAAAACCCTTATTATTTTATTAGAAGTTAGTAGAACATTCCTGCTAATACGGCTCCAGTTATTTTCAAATGTATTCCTATCGTTAAAACCCTTATTATTTTATTATAAGTTAGTAGAACATTCCTGCTAATACGACTTTAGATATTTTTTCTAGGCAAACTTGCATAACTTTAAAAACATTTGTTTTACCTAAAACAATCCGAGTTATTTATTGGAATACTTCTTTCTTTATATTACTACTATTATTATCTTCCTGAAGCATTTTTGCTATCATTACCTTAGTTTTTCTTTTCGGATAAACCTTTATAATATTCCCCAGGTTGTATTTGTTGAACCACTCCAAATTATCTTTATTAAAACATTCCTGTTTATACATCCAAAGTTATATATATATATAATTCTTGCTAACATGTCCCGGTTTACATTTAAAAATATTTTTACTAATACATTCCTGGCTATATTAATATAATATTCTTGTTAATATTCCTCGAGTAATATTTGTAAAAATCCTTTTGCTACAGCAACAGGGCAGCGTTTATATTTAATTCTAATTTCAGTTGGTTAGATTAGGCTTTAGTATTTGTCACATGAAAAAGGCTGAAATATTTTGCTTGATTATCAAGATAGTGATCTGCTCTCAGTCATTTTTTGCAGAAGATCAAAATAAGATCACATTTAGTGGTTCGAGTATTGCGTAGCGTTACTGTTACTTGAATGGAAAAAAATGAAGCTATCGCACACGTTAAAGCTATTTTTTATTGGTGTTTTAAAGAATCAAGGCCTTAAAAATAATGGTTGAAATAACTGTATCATGTAATAAATACAATGAAATATTAATGGCTGAAGAAAAGACATCTACTCGTAGTGATGTTAAGTACCCCAGCAAAAGCTTGATAAAACTAATATACACGTGCGATTGAGTTAAGTGACGTACATTTGTAGGTTCCTCCATTAACTGCCTCCAGTGGTACAGTAGTATGTCTACGGACCTACAACGCTAGAAACCGGGTTTCGATACCCGTGTTGGGCAGAGCACAGATAGCCCATTTGCTCGATATTTTAAATTGTTGTTATAGTTCAACTGTTTAACTTGAGGACTGATACTTTGTTTGCCCTGACGTAGTTCGTCATAATAAATGAGGGGCGAAAAAGGAGAAAGGGTCTCTTATTGTTGTTTTACTGGCAATATTTTCCATTTGTAAAGAGAAGGTGTTTCTACAGGGATTAGTAGAAAATTTTAAGTAGACCAAAATCACATAACCGGACGGACTGGATTCGACATTTAACAGTAAAAACTGTAAATAATTTATTCAAATTTCCATCTAGTGGCAATAAAACTAAATTATAAAAATAAATTATATATATATATATATATATATGTATATTTCCTTATTATATTAATAATAACTTTGTAACAGAAATACCTTACATATTTTAAAATACGTATTTGACACAAAGTAAAATCATTACGCTAATTTTACTCGCTAGGTATTACCTCTTCTTAAACCTGTACCACGGTGGGAAGGATGTAAGTTTACGTACTTACAACGCTAAAGTTCGGGGCTCGATACCCTACGATAGACAAAGTGACATATCCTATTATGTAGCTTTGTACAAAGCAAACAACAACGTCTCTTAAAATCAATGCAAATGCCGACAACTCAACCGGAATTAACGGATTTTTTTTTTAACATTTTGTGAAGTCTCGGATTATAAGTATGCCCGAAACGTTAATATTGTTCGTAGTTATACTCTATATTTAGTTCACATGAGAGAAAACGCCAGACATGGCCAGTGGTCAGCATGTTAATGTTCGTCCTACGTATATGCAAATGAAAACGCTTTACACTTTCAGCTTTGGGGGCGTTCTAATTGTGACAGTCAATTACACTATCTCGATATGAATAGCCGTATAGACGGCGTAGACTGTTGAAACTGATATCTCTCCCTCTGGTTTGAAGCTGTAAAATACGGATAGCTAAACCAGTCTGAATCTTAGATGTCTCTAACCTGACTGTTAAAGTTGAACATGAAAGATAATGAAAGACTTAAATATAAAAATAGAAATATTTCAAAGACAAGATACTATTTATCGTGAATTGTACAAATTTAGATTCGCTAAATAGGCGAATATGCTTAATGACGTCGTAGATAACGTTTTACTGCATGTTTATAAATTACTGACACTTAACATTCCATTGCTTTCCGAATTACTAGAATTATGAATGATTTGACACATTTCCTTACTACTGGATATCCTAATGGACTATATGGTTTTAAAAAAGATAAGGGCATTGTTGCTAACACTGATTTCAATACTTGTGTAATCAAGACTTTATTGGCTGTAAGATTATCTTCTGATTTCTTCGCTGATTTCTGTTTGGATAAAATACGTTAAAACACACGATCTAATGGATCCTTCTCAGAGGAGTTAGCCTAAGTTATATGGTATATTAAACAATTTAATATGTTTTGTTCTATCGAAAAATGCTTGTGGAAATTAAAATCCAATAAACATCCGTTTCAATGTGTTATAGCATTCTTTACCTATAAAATGGTGCAATAAGCCTAATGACGAGATTTATCGTTACAATCATAATTGGTTCCATCATTTATTCTGCTCCGCCGTAAATATTTCTAAGTTACTATTATTACGAGTACCTTCTCAGTCATATCGTCAGTTACATCCTAACACTATTACCTCTCTATTTGATCATTACTTATTCCATTCCCTGAGTCTATTATGAATACATTTTCGCCTTCTTCCGTCTCTAGCATCCAGCTGTTCTAATAATGCTCTTATAACAGTATTCTCCTACTGTAAGTTATTCAGTTATTCAATAGCCCCAGCTATTATAACAGTTTTCTCCTACCGTCAGTTATTCACTAACCTACAACTGTCATAACAGTCTCCTTTTGCTGTCAGTTTTTCACTAACCTTTAGCGGTTCTAACAGTAAGTTATTCACTAATATACAGCTGTTCTAACAATATTTTTCCTTCTGTCAGTTATTCAGTAACCTCCAGCTGTCTTTTTCTGCTTTTTGGTTATTCACTAACTTTTAGGTGTCGTAGTAATCTTTTCCTACCATCATTTATTCACTAACCTTCAGCTGTTCTGACAATCTTCTCCTGCCGTCAGTTATTCACCAATTTTCAGCTTTTGTAGTAATCTTCTGTTGCCGTTAGTTGTTCACCAACTTTCATTTGTTGTAGTGATCTTCTCTTGCCATCAGTTATTCACTTATCCCCTGTTGTCCTAACAATCTTCTCATACTGTCAATTATTCAGTAGCCTCCGGCCATAATAACAGTCTTCTATTCACTGGCCCCAGTTGTTATAGCAGTCTTATCCTACTGTCAGTTATTTAATAATATCCAACTGTTCTAACAATCTTCTCTTTCTGTCAGTTATTCAGTAGCCTCCGGCCATAATAACAGTCTTCTATTCACTGGCCCCAGTTGTTATAGCAGTCTTATCCTACTGTCAGTTATTTAATAATATCCAACTGTTCTAACAATCTTCTCTTTCTGTCAGTTATTCACTAATCTCCAGCTGCTCTAACAATCTTCTCCTGCCTTCAGTTATTCACCAACTTCCAGTTGTCATAATAATGGCCCCCTTCATTCAGTTATTCACAAACTTTCAACTGCTTTAATAATATTCTCCTGCCGTCAGCTATTCTCCAACCTCCAATTGTCATAACAGCCTTCTTCTGTCGTCGGTTGTTCATCAGCTTCCAGTATTCTCCTACCGCTAAAGCTATGCCTAAATCTGTTGTAGCATTCATCAACATTTAAGTGTAAATTATGAATATCATTATCACAACTCTAGTACTATGTGGACAGTGTCTTCACGTCAAAACAAACATATAAAACCTGTAATAAACGGCCTATCCTTCTAAAACCACAGAATATGTCATTAACTAATCAGTTTCTGTATTTCCCGTAGCCTAGATTATACGCGAGATTATGGAACGTGCCATTTGTAGCGATTAACAAGGGTTCATTACGAAGCCAATAACAATATATTGTACGGAAACCTTTAAAGCTCTCAGACATGAGGATGTTAATGAAGGTGGTGACAGGAGACTTTAGATGTTTAAATAAATGTAGTCAGTTCTCTTAAACCCGGCATTTATGAATATGGAACACAGTAAGATATAATCGAGTTAGATTATGTCTAAAATATATAATAATAATAAAATTGTAAATGCTGACAGAAAAGGTGCCTTAGTGAATAGGAAACATGGTCTCAGATAATTAAAATCCTGTGTCAGTTCCGTCTCAAGAATTAAAAAAATAGACCAAAATGTTCGTAAAGATTGGAGCAGTTACAACTTTTTGGGCAAATGGACACTTTTCTTTTTGTATAGTTTTCTACCTGAACAGCA